TAAGAAATAAATCTGATTTGATGAAAATTGAAATTCTGTATTAAATAATGAAACAATTTTAATTAGTTGATCAGACATTTTGATCATTTCAATGGAACCCATTTCTAAGAAATAAATGTTGGAAAAGTGGCAAACAGTATGTCGAAGACGTAAAATAAAAAGCAAGCTGTTCTCTCATTGGAAAGTTTGAATGATTCAGAACTGTGAGCCATAAAGGACGCATCTGTTCGATGGGGAATCATGGGGGGTCGTATTTTTCCGCGGGAAATATCATCGGAATCAAGTATTAATGTAAAGATCGCGGTCTGCTCGATTCGAAGAGGTACGCTCGGTAGCAACTTCGATCCGGTCGTTCGGAAACGCGCATGGAACCAACCGTTCGTCGTCCAGAGGAGAGTGGGAGAGTATATCCGAAAACGAGGGCTCGTAAAACTGAGACCGTCTGACGATGTACGTATCCGATCAATCTAACCGGAGCAGTCGAAACGTTTCTCTCTCGAGCCGAATTCGTTCCACTGGATAGATAAGTGAATACACGAAAACGCAACACTTTGAAAATTGCTTCTGCGTCCTGTTTATTGTACGATCGTGTCGTCATTGGAGCTCGTGAAATTCTGATGATTAACAAGGAACGTAGATGCGTACAATTGAATTGTAAATTCAATGATATGAAAATGTTCTCGCGGGTAAATAATAATTAGCGAATGACTGTACGCGTTCCTCAAGCCGCCATGTCGTTCGCATGAGCGCGCGGAGCAAATGAATGGAGGTCGCATTCCCGTTGATACGTGATTTATTTGTTTCATTAAGGGAGCGGTGCACGTTTAATGAGATCGTCACAATTACCCGGGACAATGTGAACGGCGTGCCGTAAATAATGCATCCTAATTGTAACGCGCGACGATCCCCCGCGCGGTATAAAAAAAACTTTATTGTATAATCATAATAATAAGTGGCCCTAATGAATTTACTCATCAGCGGAGTATCGGCGGGGCTCTCGTTAACGACACCGCGTTCTTCCCTCACTCGTTAGCACCTCTAAATATCCTCGTTGCGGCATATTAAATACCGACGTTTCCAATTAAAAGTATCACCGGCGCTTCGTTCACTTTCCCGTGACCCGTTAATTAAACCGTACCGAGCCATTATGTGGGTGAAATCTGTTTGGAAAGTAGGCCGGCGTGTCTGCGAGCTAACGAAGTGGAATCTGAATTACGCGGTCACCAATGCGTTAAAAAGGTAGATACAAAAATCGACTGGGGATCGACGACGCTCGAGTCTAACCGTCGTCGGTTCTGAAAGATTTAAATGCAGTCGCGACGAGGAGACGTGAATCGAGGGTCTTCGGTTATTTCTGAGAGCGGAACATCTCAGAGCTGTTTCCCCTCTCGAGTAATAAAACTTAATAGCTCCCGGCCACGGGGTGAACGCTCGTAAAATCCGGCGGCGTTAATGCCGACCCACACCCCCGCGCGCCGGCAGAGGATCTATTATTAAATAGAGAGCCGTAATTCATTTCTCCCGGTTCGATCTCATCCCGTTCAACGGGAATTGTTTATGACAATTGCCTTTTCAAAAGATAAAAAAGCTTTATCGCCGCGTCACGATGCTCGCATCGGTGGAAAAAGGGTGAAATCGTTGGCTGGAGGGTGACTCGACACGATTCACGTCGACCCTGATTGTTTTCTGCCTGATGGATGGGTTCCGGTGTAAAACGTTGATCGACGCTATCAAGACGTCACCCTGGTCCGCTCTTCCGGTCCACAATTCCAGCGAAGAATTACCGACACATGACCACAGTGGCGCCCTCGATAAAAGGGTTGCCGAGCGCTCCCCTCGATTAAACCTCGTGACGTTTTCAAAGGATTAATTTAATTAAC